TCGACTTGCAAGTATTGAGTGAGTGAGTGAGTATGGTTTTACGCCGCTTTTAGCAATATTCCAGCAATATCACGGCGGGGGAAACCAGAAATGGCCTTCACACATTGTACCCATGTCGGGAATGGAACCCGGGTCTTCGGCGTGACGAGCGAACGCTTTAACCACTAGGCTACCCGACCGACCCTGCAGGTATTGAACTGTTTGTGGTTGCGTTTGGGCTCAGTCTCATGTCATTAAAGATATGTCTTGAGCTATTTAAAATTGATTTAAATCAGACACAAAACAAAATAAAATCAATATCTTGAGCAGATATATTTCTAAAAGTAGGTGTTCAGGAACAGTCTACTCTCTCAAAAACTCAGGCCAACCAACATAAGACAATACTCGTATCCCACTATGAACCAAATATATATATATGGGGTGAAATTAGTGAGGCCGAGATTGGGGAAGGGGGTAAAACTTTAGGTTCGTTTGGGTAGCATTTTTAACATATGAGTTCAAATTTTGGAGAGGCATTCACATATAGTTGTACACTTATGACGTTATTTGATACAAGTGTTCTGGTGGTCTCATTATATCCCAGCAACATCCTCAATACACTTTCAACATACGTGATTAATGTTATCCAAATGCACACGCACGCACATGAGCCCGCACGCACACATTACACTCGCCCCCCCGCCACACACACACACGCGCGCACGAACACACACACGCGCGCGAACGCAAGCACGCACGCACGCACGCACGCACGCAAGCACGCAAGCACGCACTCACAGGTCCACACTCGAAGTGTTTTGCACAGACGTATATATGCTTATTCCCACCATAACGTTTAGAGAATAAATTCTCTTATAAAGTTCTAGTTCTAGTGCGGTCTTTCTGCTTTGTAATCGACTTTGTATTCATCTCAACTTGTAATGAATCGTTTCTTTGATAAATCAAGAACATCATGATCTAAAGATACCAATATATAACATGATTAAGTAATACTGGGTGTATATTTGTAGTTGGCCAATCGGCTGCAGGTGACGGAGATGGTTGAAACACAACGAAATCCGTTCATGACTTCTTCAGATAGATCCCTCGAACGTGTCATGGTGTCCTCACACGGTTCTAGGACTCGGTTTGTTGGTGTAGTGCGGTCGCGAGTTTACCAAGAATGATTAACTTTCTCTCATGTGAGCGGCATTGTCTACCGGTAAACTGTCTTATTCTGAACTCACTGCCGTCATTGAACGTAAACGAACTACTTTCATTACCAATGATTCAAGTAGCACCTAATAATAAAAACTAAGAATAACACATTTCACGGAATATTGTCCGGATAAAAGATCGGAAATCGACTAATTATCAAATACTAAAAAGAATGAAATTACCGGTCTTCGGCGCGACGAGCGAACGCTTTAACCAATAGGCTACCCGACCGCCCCTTTTTTAATGAAGGCTACGGACCAAAAGAGAACCCATTAAAACAATTTACAACAGTCGGAAGCATAATTATTTTCTTCAAGCATTTCCTGGAACAACTTTTTTTAAAAACATCCCAGCATCCCTACCCACCCCAAATGGTCGGTACCAGAGAACCCCTTTTAACCCTCGCCTGCATTATAGTTTATTTTACCATCTCTACCTCCATGTGCAAACAGTAACACTGCAACCACAGCATCTTTTGTTTTCACTATCACTATAACTAATGAGGATCAACTGTTTACAATGCATGAGAGAGTATGTTTAATTTAACGTCGCTTTGAACAGCATATCTTGGTTCCATGGGAAAAGTATACTTCGGTAGACAATATCAATATTGTTCTCCTGTTCGACCTAGACTATGGTCTGTTCGAACATGGCGTGGTTCACATCGGGTAATAGTGACTTGATTTTATTCTAGTTCACGTGGGTACATCAGTGGAAGAAGCGAATTGTCTATTTGACAAGTATTGAACGATAATCGATACACCTGAAGTTTAAGTTAAACTGTTTTCCCCAAATTCCCGTGTTTTCATTTTGCCAATCCGAGCAGAAATTCTCGCTTCATATTTCAAATTTCACATAAATGTTCCCTTTTATTAAGTAATCTTGCGAGAATTATCTAGCGATTTGGCCTACATCATAGTGAGTGAGTATTGTTTTACGCCGCTTTTAGCAATATTCCAGCAATATCACGGCAGGGGACACAAGAAATTGGCTTCACACATTGTACCCATGTCGGGAAGCGAACCCGGGTCTTCGGCGTGACGAGCAAACGCAAACCGCCCCCATATTCCAATTAAACAAAACATATTGGTCTAGTTTCTTTTTCTATCTGTATATGTCTGTCTTTATTAATCGCTAATTCTACCCGCGTTTCAAGTGTGATAACCCAATATTACACGGTAACCCCCTGCTTCTGACTGTACTGAACTTGATCGCAAATTCTTCTGGCGGCGTTAGGGAGATAATGTTTTACTGTCTTGACTCAAATTTATAATGAATTCTACATGAGCTTCAAGCGACTAACGGGATCGGGTGGTCAGGCTCACTGACTTGGTTGAAGCATGTCATCGATCCCAATTGCGTGGATCGATGCACATGATATCAATCACATGACTGTCTGGTCCAGACTCGATTATTTACAGACCGCCGTCATATAGCTGGAATATTGCTGAGTGCGGCGTAAAACAACAAACCAACCAACCAACCAATATGTGGTTAATGGAGATAACTCAACACTGAATTGTAACTCATTGCTTGTTGACTTCACTCAAATAGATTGCCAGTTGTTTGAAGGAGAATACTTATTAAAGAAGGGTACCTCACTTGAGAATAGATTTCTAGCAGACATTTATACTAACAGCCATATAAAATGTCCCCGTTACATTGCCCTGATATGATCCACAAAGTTAGGGTTAAACAGCATAATATTACGCACTGCCATTCGAGGACACCTGATTTTCAGTGATACAATTATATACTTTTCACCACTATCTTGCCTTCTTCGTCCAATAGTATCAATTTCGGAAGATAATGGAGACACATGTGAAGATCCGGGTTAGAATTGGTCACCTGCTTGTCGTAAAAGGCGACTAACAGAAACGGGTGGTCAGGCTCGATGACTTGTTGATGCATGTCATCGTATCCCAATTGCGTGGATCGATGCTCATGATGTCAATCATTGGAGTGTCGGGTCTAGACTCCCTTAGTTACAGACATCCGTCCTAAAGCTGCAATATTGCGGCGTTGAAAACAACAACAGACAAAAGAAAGATTGTTCTCTGGCGTTGACGTTTTATATTTATTTGACTGAAGTCCCCGAGTTTCATCATAAGCTCAGTAGCATTTATTTATTATACTGATTCAACTACGAACGAAATGTCAAAACTGCCTCCCAAAAGTGCTGTTGCAAACGATAACGTTTCTTAAACGTGTTTTCTTTATTTATAAGCAGCTGAATCTCTGCACTTGTACACAGCAGACACAATTCGCAACTAACATTAACGTTTGTGTATGTGACAGGTGCTACCGAAAGGGCGAACACCTGGTATCATCACTTTTTGACAGTGATTCATAAACACATGCTAATCGCAATCCAACAACGAATTATCGGGTGGTCAGGCTCGATGACTTTGTTGATGCATGTGATCGTCCCAATTGCGTGGATCGATGCTCATGGTATTAATCACTGGATTGTCTGGTCCAGACTCGATTATTTACAAAAGATGTCAGTCCAACTAAGTTAAAGCTTTTGTTCATGTATTTAAAAAAAGTGAACCGTTACCGGATGTTTTTTTTTTATATTAAAGTGACATTGGCCTTTCATGTATCTTTACCACAAAGAGCAGACAAGGAGGATGCGCAATATCATTGTGTTGCCTTAAATCTGATATCTATCCATTTCTTTGTCTTCAAGGGAGGTGGCTGGAAGGTGATACGTCCACATCCTGACTGTACATTGATTCCTTGTCGAGGTCTAGAAAAGCAAATTACTACACCACATTTAAGACTACTATTATACTATAACCTTATCTATTAAATGTAAAGTTACGTAAGTTTAAAATAGCCCTTATTCGATTTCGTTGTGGCTCATATGATCTTTTTTATTGAAACAGGCAGATATGTAAGTATTGCAAGAGAACATTGACTTTGTAGGATTTGTAGCACTGAAGATGAACATCACTTTTAATGTGTATGTCCAGTGTATAATGATTTAAGAGTAAAATATCTAAATAACTATTTCAACCACAAGCCACTTGGTAACACGTCTTGCAAATTAATGACACGTGATTTTACAGAAACTATGAGAAATTTATCAATGTTCATTTATCATGCTATGAAAAATATATGAATTTGTAACACGCCCCAGACAATGTACTATAGGTCTTTGGCCTCATCTGTGCCATGAATCAAGATTGATTGACTGACAGGTATATTTTATAGGGCAAAAGCTTGTATATCTTGTCCGGAAGTCTAATGATGAAAGCATAGGTAATAGTCACTCATGCTTGTGATGTTATGACGTCACCTCTTGCACTAATCCGGCTATTTAACGTGTCTATAACTTCGGGTCATTTGAGAAATCCACACATTTATATGAATACTTGCCAAAATGTCTTGTCGGCGAAAAGACCACGACACATTTAAGAATATTTCCTCTTGCGAATTTATCCTTTATTTTCATTAGTTGTACACTTAAACATGCAGACAACGACGTATGTCATTCTGTAAAATTAACATAATTAAACGACTGCTCAGATTTGAGAACATACACATTAAACTTTATTTTCCACAGGTGGGACAGGATGCGCTCTTCGTGAACACTTGGTTCAAAAACACATGCTTAAGAGGATGTCGACCCGTGACGATCCGGGGTAGAATAGGTCTTCAGCAACCCATGCCTGCCGTAACAGGCGACTATGCCTGTCGTAAAAGGCGAAGGGATCGGGTGATCAGGCTCGCTGAGTTGTTTCATGCATGTCATCGTATCCCAATCGCGTGGGTCTATGCTCATGATATCAATCACTGTATTGTCTGATCCAGGCTCGATTATTTACAGACCGCAGTCAAATAGCTGGAATATTCCTGAGTGTTTGAAGTATTAAAGTATTAAATCCATTTTCGAAATCTCTTACTTTAAAGCAAAACCCAGTTGATTTATGTCCAATAACTGAACACAGTTCTGGTACACATAAGGACACGTCACTACGACTGCGTAACACATATGTCATTCAGTAAAATTAACATAATTAAAGTCTTTACAGATATGTGGGATTCATCAGGTAGTCTGCGTGACGTCGATTATTTCTATCCGGTGTCATATGCAGTGTAACGCCATGGACGACCCGGTCACCCCTCGTTCATCTCCCACCCAGAACAGCTCTTCGGGGTCTCCACTGACATTGACTGGAACTGGCTTCAGTCGGCCATTTGGGTTGCAACGTGTGCAGTCCTTGAACCACCATCCAGAGCCGTGAATTTGAGGACAGCTACCTGTTGGATTATCATCATTGTCTCTGTCATAAGTGCTGAATTTAGCCCCCTTCAGTTCTGTCATTGTGTCATTCAGCTTGTTTTTTGGGGATGTCGTGCTTGCATTATACTCGCTAAATGTCATTCTATAGCCATCAGTTTCATCAGTTAGTTTGAAGTTTTTAAAGTTGATTTGTCTCCATTTCGGACAGCATGGATAGGTGAGATGAACTATCAACTGACATATTACCCTGTCACTGATTGCTTTTATTTTTTCAAGGCCAAGCCAGTGGTCACGTGTGACCTCCCCAAAGCCTTCTCGATAGTCCCGCCATTTCCTGTTGAAGTTGATACCATAGTGCTGCTTCTGAAAGTAGGTTCTTCCTCCAAAAGTCATGTGGCAGAAGACTTCGAATGGTGGGGAAGAGGTATTAGGTTCGATGGTAAAGACACCCGTGCCTGTTGCTCCATTCCTGAACCCCTCGCTACAATCTGATAATGAAATAGTATTAGTAACACAATGACCATGTAGTTTAAGCATACAGTGAAACACCCTGACGAATTCTAGAGAAACGACTAACTGGTCATGTCACTTAATCTCAATTAATCATCATTTTAAAAATATAATGTTGAGCTTTACAAAGATTCAAAGAGAGTTGACAAACTGTAAGAATATTACAAATACAATAACTGCATATGTGTTTGCTTGCCATACTTTACTGCTCCGACGGTCAAATATCAGATAAGTGCATCCACAGTGTACAATGATTAATAGAGTGTCGGGTTGTGATTTCACATATGGAAGGACCGTTCAGTGTTTGTCTTTCCTTTATTTTCGTCGTAAAATTAACTTATTGAACCATACCATTAAACTTATACATACAGACGTTCACACATTGACATATATTCTCAAAACAAAGTAGGGGATCATGAAATATAATTGTTTTAATCGGTCGTCAGAAGAATATAAGTTTTGAAAAAAAGACGGCCCGAGATCGTTTTCGGAACCACAATCTAACGGCCCAACACACAAGAAATATTGCACGTGGACAGTACATTGGTAGTGGAGCTTTATTGATTTTGACACTTCAGTATCGCAATGAACCATTTGTATTGTAGATCTTTCAGATACCAAGAAATCGAACCCAAATAGCCAATCAAATCGCAGTTCACTTGCGCCAGGCCACCGGAGTGCAAGTTAATGACCAGACGATAAGAAATCGTGTTGTTCTACGTAAACAAATCGACACATTCAAGCTAGACACCGATAGGTACGGTGGGAATCGCCGATGGCCTGGTGTAATGTTTTCAGATGAGTTCAAATTTCCTCTGGACTTTCTAGATAGGTATTGACGTGTCTGGAGGCGCCCTAACGAACGTCATGAGAACGGCAACGTAAGTCAACATGACAGGTTTGGGGCTGGGGCTGTAATGATATGGGCCGGGATCTCCCTGGCTGCCAGAACGCCACTACATATTGTCCATGCAAGGGTCACTGGACAATACTACCGAAGCAGCATACTGACGCCAATAACCACCTTATCTGTTTTCGTATTAAATCTGTCCAAGATTGTCAGAAAATGTCCATAGTAGATTGAATGACAAGGGGGATGACTTCAACTTTCAATACACATACAGTCGGAATCGTACAATGGAGCAGATAGCTCCTGGTTATCGAAAGAGTTTGGTCGCTTTTATTTGCGATACATCTAACGCCTTATGTAAAGGGCTATGATGAAGGCAGGAGATATCCAATGTACAAATATAGTTCATGTTGATACAAAAAATATGTTATACAATTGCTGAAGGGGGATGACTTCAACTTTCAATACACATACAGTCGGAATCGTACAATGGAGCAGATAGCTCCTGGTTATCGAAAGAGTTTGGTCGCTTTTATTTGCGATACATCTAACGCCTTATGTAAAGGGCTATGATGAAGGCAGGAGATATCCAATGTACAAATATAGTTCATGTTGATACAAAAAATATGTTATACAATTGCTGAACATGATATTTTCAAGATATTTCACTTGGCATCACTTGTGACACAACAGCTTCAAATGTGAAGATATGGTTATGCCAGGATTGAACAAAACATTTATCCATTTTTGCATGTTTTATACTTAACATTGTTCATTCAATGATCCCTACCACTCTCTTTCTTGATAAAATAAGCAAACTTATCAGTTTGCAATCAAGTGTAATAAAAACGTCCACTTAATTCTGTGAACCCATTTCTGTCCAAAAACTATCCATACTGTGGCAGGTCTTGGTCAAAGGTATTTACCAAGTTCCACATGCTTTGTACGTAAGTATATACTAAGGAATGAAAAATGAAAACAATCCTTCACAAAACTCAGCTTTAAGTCACATGGACTATAGTCAAGCAAACTTTCGGTTTGCTCAAAACTTTTTTCTGTATATTGCAAAAGCACAAAGATGTAACTACAAGTATCAAGGCACATAATGCAAATTATTTTTAACAATTCAATCAAGTTTACCGTTATAAGGCCAGTAAAGTTTCCTTTGCTCAAAACCCATTTTTGTGTTTTGAAATCACAAACGTGGAGCATAAAAGTATCATGACATACAATTTAACTACTTGTAAAAATACATTTTACTGTCAATAAAACAGCAAAGTCTGCCATGTTAAAAAAAACAGAAATTGATGCTGTCTATGGGTGTGGCTTGATGGTACCTTGGTAATTAGTTATTATTGGTCTTTGAACTGACTGACTGACTGACTGTCTGATAATCCCCCTTTGCAACTATATATAAAATAATATCCTTTATTCTGAAACTCAAAACAAGTTAGTGCATCGTTGTTTAACACAAGTAACGTCCAAAGGGGTGGTAAACCTAACTCAATCCCCCCTATTAGTTTTGCATTTCTTTTCTCGATCCCTTGGGGGTATATATCTTGTCTTTGGAAAGCAAACATCAAGCGCTTATCTGCCTTTACATGAATACTTACCATACCAATACCGTTGGCAGTATCTTCCAGCAAAGCTGTAGGGACAAATACAAGAAACCTTTCTTGAATCGGACCAGTAGCCGCCGTTTTCACATGGTGGAGGTGGGTATGTCTGAAATATTGGAACTTGTCTCAGAACTACATTGGAGTCAAATGCAATCATGTTGGATAAGGAAGCGCTCATTTGGTAAATCAAACCATAGGTGCTATGGCAAGATATTTTCCCTTTAAACGTTTTTATTCTGAATATATGCGCCGAAAAACGCAATGCCTTCTTTGATAAACATCTAAGATACCACCGAGATGCCATACCTTCTCTGATAAATGCAAACAAAGTTACCAACGCTGAACGTCCGTTTCACATGCCTGGGGAGGGAATGTCAGACACAAGAGGAGTGTAGAATCTACTACACAGGTGAGCGTTATATGTTGTTATTGATGAAAAGTGTTACCAACGATAAACGGCCGTTTCACATGGTTGGGATAGGGGTATGTGTGTGGTGTTAGACACATGATGAATGCTGAGTATACTTCTCCGAAACACATATAATAACAGAGAATCTACTAAACAGGGGTATGTTATATGTTGTTATTGATGAAAATGTGCTTTATTCATATTATCATACCTTATTTCGTCCGTCTTACTTTTCATTTTGAAGACGACAACTTCAAAGAAAAATAATTTTCAGAATTCCAGGCCATTCACCAGGTCCAGCGAATTATCTGTTTTAGTAAAACAGAGTGCCACGTTATTTTGTGCATCTTCTGGACCACATTGACTTAAAACATAAACAGTCCCTCTCACTGAATTTCAAATGGTCATCTCAGTTTCCAATACCATAAATGTAGTTGACGTAGCTTGCTTTGGGACCGTTTTGGCTTGTTTGGGCGAGGTCCCGTTTCCTTCGCCACAATGGCCAAGATAGTTGGGGAATTAACTTGATAGAGCTGATTACTATGACCTTCAAGAGAGAGAAGGCTGCTGAGTCCCTTGGTGTTCTTATTCTAGGCAGAGTAAAGCATCTGCCACTGGACTCAGGCCTTCTGCAGCATGTGTTAGTTACCAAATCTTGAAACTGTAATCCAAATATGTCAAATGCCTGGTGTATTAATTGCGATTATTACTTAGTTAGGTAGTGCACTGACCACTTAATATTCTATATATTCCTACCTAGATAAAATCTACCAATTAGATGTTACAGCCTGGGGGAACTTATTATTGAAATATGGCCACTATAATTATGGATTAGTTGTAGTGATTTTAGAACTAATGACATATTCATTTAAGAGTCGATACCTTATTTTATAAATGACGAGTCGGAATTGTTTATCGTACAATAAACACTGCACGGAGAATAAACCGTTTTTTTCACTGCAGTGTTTTATTGTGCGATAAACCACGAGTCGTTTATTTCTTATGTGAGATGTCAAGACTCTTTATGATGATGAGGAATGTACAAAGTTTAGAAATATTTACCCTATTTTAATAATGATAACTCCCAACAGAATCCAACCTCGGCAATGTCCATTGTATGCACAGGTTGGTATTTTCCGCATATTTTCACATCAGTCACGTCGATTACCTGTACCTTTTTTACCAATGACGATTGTCATATCTCTCCCGCTTTTGAATGCGATCGTTCGTCCATCGCGTTTATCTGCACTGCCCCACTACATCTATGGGGAACAATTTACTAGACACTCCCCCCTCAAAAATAACGTCGTCCAATATATGACTTCATCAAGTTGCGAGCGCATGTTCGAATCTCCAGAAATGTCGCCATGATAGAGCAATTTTTTATCGTAAAAAAAACACACTTCGCTTTTGCGATTTCTCGCGTAGCTATCTTATATAATCAAATATAGCGTGACTTACCTTTCTGAAGGAGACATCTTTGATGACCATGTCCTGTAATCCGGACATCGTTATGAGGCTACAAGTACCGTTCTCCACTGACATGATGGTGGCCGCACAAGTATCAGACGAAGCACATTGTTTCAAACAGTCAAGAATAAAATCCCGATCCGCTGGAGATAATTTAACAGAAGGGGTGAACACTTTGGCGGTTGTCCCAGACGAGAGATGTGCGTTTAACATTAAGATACCAACAATTAACGTGAACGCAGTAGCGAGAGACATATTGCTGGCACAGTCACTCCACTCCAGTCTACATCTGATACTCATCAATCCCATCAATCCATCAAGACATCACATCATACCAACAGTGCATCGTCGTCCTTTGTCTGGGAATCTGAGAATATCCATCACAACAATTGTCAATTGTAAAGGGACGTCTTTAATGTTCAAGATGTTCATGAAATTTTAATGGAGAGACTTTATTGGTAACGATTATAATTTTTGATGTACTGATTGGAATGGCATAGAGAAGAATTCACAGTCAATGTGTAAATCAATTAATAATGTATTTCTAATCAAGGAAAGAAATCCAATTGTAAGACTTAAAGGTTACAAACTCGTATTTCATGATCGGTATTGCAAGCACACAAAGCTAGTCACGATAATGTGTAAATAGAAAGAGAATTGGAATTAATATAACTCATTTACTTGAATAAGGACAAATAATAGCGTCTATACACCTTTGGTTACGGGTGCTATACAAAACGCCCACGGCATGATGTTAGAGTTAACACACTGCGTCTTTGGAAATAAAAAGTTCTGCAGTGAACAAGTCCGACAACAAGATGAGGTAGATCTAAACGGTTTAACTTCCTGATGCAATTTTACGGTGACGAAACCTTCAAATGAGGTTATTCCAATGTAGAAAAAGTCCGTTCATTTGTGAATTAGGTATTGTGTACACCAATTTCCAGTCATCATCATTTGAAGAAGGTAGCTTGACTAGTATCCAGGTAAAGACCTACATGCAGTCGAAGCAAATGTTAAAGTGTGGGAATGAAAGTACAACGTATGCTTATTTCTAAGATGCTCAAAAGATCAAATGCGGCGATTGTACTTTACCATTCGATAAAGCAAACTTTTTGAGTTACGTCATACAAGGCTGACGTCATGCCGCTGTTCCCCGTATCCTTGATGTCATCGTTCTGTCCTTACAGTCAAGCAAGATGGCGTATCCACATCACTTACCGGTGATATAGTTTCTTTAACTTGTCGAATATTTGAATAATATTGACCTGAGATGAAATAAGGCAAAGCATATGAAAAGCCACCTTGTTACAAAAATGAATGACGACAATGCTAAATCACTAGATCAAAACATGCAGACAACTGGTAACAAGAACAACATTTCTGCAAATTAATTACTGCCACATAAATCCTGACCAGCACAAACAGACATCCAAACTAACATGCGTAATGTTCATGTGGACAGAAGACAGTATCCAACAATATCAATGTCTGCATATTTCTGGTGGCTTCAGCACTCTCTTTGCTGCTTATGTAACTGCCTAAAACATAACGATTAATCTTGTTATACCTGCATGGCCAGTTCTAGTGAAAACATCGGATTTGCATCGAAAGTAACCTTTCCGCCTGTGTGACGTTTCACAAGTGATCGAGTGGCTTGGCTTCATTGAGCAAAGCTGTGACATTACGCCTCAGATATTGTCAAATACCAGAGATGAATCATTATTGTTGTTATTAAGATCATACAGTTTCAAATATGCTCAATACATCAATTAATCATTTTGTTAATTGAATGCAATGTAGTTGCAGGAATTAATTTCTCGGCGAATGTATTTTCCCAAAAGAAGTTATAGGGTTATTTGGTTTGCTTCACATTGCAAGGACAATATGTATCTCTACGCATAATGTACTGTAAGATTTCAACAATGTTGTGTATTTGTTTCTAAATAGGGAATAGTTTAAGGTGAAAATTATAAATAGATTTCATCACTCGTGTTTTTTAATATGAAAAATATCAACCTCATCCCGTTACTCTGTATCCATCGCCAGAGTTTCGATTGATGTATCCCATATAAAACACTCGGGATGAATATCTGTGTTACTTTGCATATGCATGAATCATGTGACGGAGTGCCTTTAGGTAGTTTTGGGTTTGCAGAATCTATCACAATCAAAAAATAATGGTTTGAATTTTTTCGTTTGCCGGATAGCCTTTTCTTGGATGGATAAGTAACATAACAAGATAAAATAATTGCAACTGCTATACTATCACGCAGAATTACACCTTTAACAGTTTAAATGATAACTAATGTTGTCTCTGGAAACTGAGAACAAAACCTTCTTTGAAGTTCCACCCCAATTTTGCCTTTCACGCCAAAGGAATGTTTTGGCCGATAATCGAGACTGGTTATTTTCTTACGTTTTATATTAATATGTTAGTATAGACTTACGTCACATGCTCCACTTTAAAGAGTATTACCATTTTATGTCTCCCATTAACCGACACTAAACTACAATATTGAGCTACACAGTGTTTCGATCACGCGCTTAGCAAAAATCTGTAATCAATGAAACAACAAAAATATGGCCAAAGGCAGGACATGATAACATTGGTTCGTGCTTGTAGGTTTTGTTTGGACATGAAGACCAACACGATTAATACCCCTGAGACTATGGTGCTTTTCGTTTCTTAAACCAACATTTTACCTGAGTGGAACAATAATGACATACATGGAATATGTGTTTGCAGAAAATAAAGAAAGCACTGGGATGAATTAAGGACTGGCAAATTACACGAAGCACAGAGCTTGCTTTCCTCGCTGCCGATTTATTGATCCAACGTGGCGAGTGGCAGGTTCTACTATAGAATTGCGTGAGAGCACATCATGTGTATTTGCTGATGTAACTCGTCATGGTAAGTAAATAACTGTTAAACCCAGAAAAAAGTTAATCGACAGGACGACAATTAGTGTTCAGTATGAATGGCTCACTGAAAATCAGTTTCTCTATTGATACCCTTTTAACAATATAACAGTTTTTCACGTATTTATCTTAGTGTTGGGATTGTTTGCTTGTTTGTTTGTTGTTTAACGCCGCACTCAGCAAGATTCCAGCTGTATGACGGTGGTCCGTAAATACTTGAAATCTGGACCAGGTAGCCCAGTGATTGACATCGTGAGCATCGATCTAGGAAATGGGGATAAGATGACATGCGTCAACCACGTCAGTGAGCCTGACCACCCGATCCCGTTAGTCGCTAGTCGATAAGCAGAGTCGCCTCTTACGTCAAGCATGGCTTGCGGAATACCTATCCTAACCCGGATCATCACGGATCGCTTAGTGTATGGTAAATACTTGAAGAAACTTGTGATTGCCGGTCTGGATGTATGAAATCATACATACTAACGGGTATAAATAAGGTGATGGTGAGGTGAAATTTGGTTTAACGTCACGTCCAAGATTATTGCACCTATATAGCGACGTGCATGCACGTGTGTGTGTGTGTGTGTGTGTGTGTGTGTGTGTGTGTGTGTGTCTGCTGCCGATTTATAGTGCTAGCTCACTGAGATACCATGCCGCAGTTTAACATGAATACCCCACTCAGACAAAGTATACTCCGAGCCGACCAGCCCTTTTATGCCAAGCGCCAGACAGGGTAACAACAAGTACCATCTTTTACGGTCTTTTGGTTGACGCGGCCGGGGATCGAACCCCGGACCTTGCGCTCTCCGGGCGGACGCTCTACCAATAGACCACGCAGGCGGTCCTGCTCCATATAAAGTGGTGTAAATGTTATGTTGTTGAAAATAACAACACAATCTTTGGTTATTCTTCTGATCAATGTTTGACCACGACAAAATTATTGAAAAACCCCAACCTGGTAACAGGAGACAGAGAGACACACCCTAAAAGAGGGATGGTGTAACAACCACCAGTGTCATTATCGGGTCTAACCACCATTTGCGTTGATACTGACGAGGTAGCGGTGGCACATTGAAGGCAGCAAGGTAATTGAAAACAGACTGGGGATGTTGTTCCAAGTGTCAAGCAAAAATTGGACTAACTGAGTTAGAGTTACCGGCTGGCTCTGGTCCTGTCGTAGGTGTCCTGCGCCCTCATCCTATGTTCCATAGGCGAGAGGTATGGAGAAACAGCCGGCCATGGCAGTACAGCAATGTTATGCTGCCTCAAAATGTCTGTTGCAACACATGCAACATGTGGACGGGCATTATCCTGCTGCGCCGTGACGTTACGTCCCTGCATTTGCATAGAACATGATCAGGAACGATACCGTCCCGGTAGCGTACACCATTCAAATTGCCATTAACAAAGATGAGTTGTGTTCTTACATGAGTTGTGATACCACCCCATACCATTACTCTTCCACCCCAAAACTGACGACGTTGAGTAACGCAAGCGTTGTTTAATCGTTCTTCTGGACGCCTGTAGTGCCTTGCACGGCCACCAAATGCTCTCTTCACCAAGTTACATGTGTCTGGCATTGACGTGGAAGGAAATGGCCGACGTCGAGGCCGGATGTTGTGTTCCCTCAACCGGATGTGAACAGTTCTGCTACTAATTTGATTCGACAAATGAATTGAGAAGTTAATGTGGCAGTTTGGTATCGATTCCGTAGAAGGGAAGTCAAACATGGACGGCTTTCTCGTAACAAATCATGAGTGTTGCACTGCTGAAGATGACATATTCAAAGAGATGATATTGTGTTTGGATGAACATTAAGCTGTCTGTCAACTTTGTTTTGCGCCATTCCTGTTTGCAGCATTACCATGTCGCGTAGACGTTGATTTCAGCAAACCTTGACAAAGCGTTTGCGATAAGTATTATAACAGACATTTAATTGACAGTCCGTGTTGCACCTGTGGATATCAGAGTGAAAACGCCCTACATTATTTTTTTACTTGCTGTAACTTTACTCAGATAAGACTTAATATGCACTTTTACACTACCGGTTATAACCTGGATACTATTATGAACGGAAACAATGAACTTGCTCACTCTGAAAACCAGAAATTAGTTGAATCCGTCCACGATTTCATTTCCAAGACAAAACGTTTCAGCTCTTCACAAGTTAATAATTAAATTAACCGGACAATAACCTCATGATTGACTATTACTTTTGTTACAAACGACTTGTTAGACACACACAAGCTGTAACTTTCTATTTATGTTCACTTTGTATTTGTATTTGATGTAATATGTACAGACATATTATTTAAATAATGTCTATATCGATGACGTCACATCCTTCATTTCAATATGTAATATATGTTGTATTGGAGCGGTGTTAACATAAGCTGTTAAGCTTGTTCACCAATCCC